TCTGGACAGGTATGTCTCCTGAGTCTACAAACATACAAAGAGTTGCACATTTTTATTTGGCCCAGCAGCTGTTCCACTGCACTGGAACTCCCTGGTAGCCATTGCATTATTGCACTTGTGTTAATGTAATATTATTAAAGCTTTCAGATGTCCTCAAACATCTGAGCCCAACAACATATACATGCCTCATAACATCCATTCCTTTTGGCAGGGCCAGATAGTGGCCAAGTCCAGCGAGATCTACTGCAGAGTCACGAGGTTGGAACTGTTTATTTGTTGGGATGTGGTGGAGTTGTGGTGGTTGGGGCAATGAATCACTGGGCATATTTATTATCCATCCTCCAGCTCTGGCTCAATCTTGCATCTCCTAGATCAGGTAAAATAATGGCCTCCATAACCTTGGACTTTCACAGCTACTGAGAACTCTTTTTTTCTCCCTCCCCTCTCTATCTTTTCATTACAGATCTATAAGAAGGCACAGATCAAATTGAAAACAGAAAATGAACGTGTGAGTGCACCATTGCACAGATACTCCCAGTTGGTTTGAGGCAGTATTTCTCTGCACATTAGAGCTACAAGAAGAGGCATCCTCAATTGATTGGGTATTAATGAAGGAGGGGTATGAGAGAGGGATCACTGCAGTGTGGATTTATTTGTAGGAAACAAACAACATATGGCCGACTTACTCCCTTAAATACAAGGCCAGCTGACTACAAGCGTATCATGATCTGTCCCAGTTTCTGAATTTATTACAGTTTATAAATCCCAATCAATGTGAGTATTTATATATTTAGACTACAATGTCAACTTAAACAACTACTGAATCCAGAATGTCCAAAGAGGATTTCCTCTAACTGAATCTCTGAGAAGGTGTTTACTGTGCACCACCTTGAAACGCTAAAGCTTTGCAGATTTATCAACTTACAGCTGTTTAATAATTATTCATATTACTATTATTGTGTCAGATACCTGAAGGCACCTTCTGAGGTCTGGCAGATTAGAGACCTTGGTGGGTCAGAGTTGTTTTTGCAAAAGCAAAGGACCAAGAGTATATAAGGTTGTAATGTTTTTCTTCATGACTGAATACCTTGATACTTGCACAATAGACTCTGAGACAGACTGAACACATAAAAAAATTATATTTGTGCAATCTTTTCTACACAGTAGAGAGAAAGAAAGGGGGTTTTCACACTCATAGTTCATTTACGCTGGTCCAGATCAGCAGATGAGTTTGTAAACTTGTAGCTTTTTCTATTGGTTTGGTTTATTCTCACACAGAGAAAAATCCAAGTGAAATCAATGCATCACTATAAACCAGCTGAGAATGTTCAGTCACCTCATTGGCTAAATGCGTCTGAGGCGTGAGCATAAAAAACTAAATACAAGAAGGTGGTGTTGTGTTCTGGCCTATCAGTGAAGACTCAGAATTTATGTTCATTTCACAGCTCAGCGCTAGCCCGTACAGACCTTTGCACATGTATATTACCTTCCCACATTAAGAAGCAAAGCATACATGACTACAGGACCGTTTATTAGGTCAAAGTTGTAACATACACCTGGTTTTTGGATTGGATCACGGTTGGATCTTATTCACACCATAAATGACCCACTCTGGAAGTTGTTTGGACTTGTCATTTATGGTCTGCTCTCGAATGCAATTACAGTGTTCACACCTGCACCAAGTTCGAAAACGAAACAGAGTTCAATTTAAACTGACGAAACACCACAGTTGTGAAAACACCTAAAGAGTCTGTTTGCCTCTGCTGCACCTGCTTGCTGTTCTTTAAATTGTTTAATACTTAAAATGTTGAGAACAGAACCCATTAGCATCAGCAGAATGTCTCAAAGGGCATGTAATGTTTGAATATTTTAACATAAAAATCTATTCTTACTCTTAGTATTCAGTTGAAAGGTTGTTAGCCAGTCTGACTCACTAACTCATTGACTCACCAGTCAGGGGTGAGTTTTCAGGCCACTGACTGTTTGGACCTTGACAGAATGTCCAGACCATTGCTTACTTTTGTGAATTCAATACCATGGACTTAAAAAAGATATTACAGAGCAGTTCCATATTTGTACCATATTTCTGCATCACCCTCTTTATGAAAGCATGCTTCTAGTTTACCTTTTTATAATTTGGGGTAGCTGTGGTTCTTGCTAGTAGGAGAACAACAGTTTACAACTATGTTTGGGAGGGAAGCAAAATAAACTGTTTGTTAGTTGTTTGTTTTAGAGTTACAGAATATTACTGCTAAGGTAGAGAAAAGCTTAAAAAAAACCACCCAAGTTCTTTTTTTTTTCTTTTTTTTAAAAAAAAGTACGAAAACTTTTTTTTTTTTTACACACATCTCATTTCTTCTAAGGATTAGGGGAAATATTTAAAGAATTCAATAGCACAGGGACTGCTTTTCAGATATAATTACTGTTAAGCTGAAGGTGCAGGAACACCAATCCACTTTAACACCTGCAATATTTTTTCATTGTATATGCGGTGAATCTGAAACACTGCTTTCTGTTTCATATCCATTTAATAACAAGTTTTGATAAAAGGAAACATACAGTATGTTGTTGAACACAAATGTTCTTATTAATACTGATAACTGACATAATAACTAATGTGTAAAGCTTTATCGCACAAGTGTTAGTGAGCCAAAGTGAAGAACTGATTAGATCCTACAGTCAGAAAAAGTACACCCTCTTTAAAATTTAAAGGCTACAGGACATAACAAATATACCTAACACATCCTTAGCAAAAATTAAGAAAAAAAATAAGAAGCCATGTGTTAAAAAAATAAGCCTAGATTATATTCTGCTCTCGATGTATCCTGGGGTGTCTGTAGCTCAGGTAGTAGCGCAGGTCACCTTGTATTTGGAAGGTTGGTGGTTCAATCCCCTTCTGCTTTTGATATCTTGCCCAATATCCCCGGGCAAGATATTAACCTTAAGTTGCTCTCTAATACATCCATTGGTGTGTCAATGTTAGATAGAAAGCACTTATGTAGAGCATGGAAAAAATTGCTGGTGTGAATGAGGAAAATTGTGTAAAGCGCTTTGAGTGCATTTACCATTTAACATGGGTAGCTGGAGATCTGTCAGACAGGTAATCATTCCTCATATTTCCTTGAAGTCCACTCTCTGGGTTGCATATGTACTAGATCGATTATAATGTCACAAGATGCAGACATTCATGTAGACCCTTGTGCTCACTGTGAGTAAAATATTATAAAGTATAACTTGTTTGGAAGAATGTCTCTTCTCTCTCAAAGATTGTGGCAGGATGGCTAAGCTTTGCAAAATTGTACCAGACCAGACCACAAGACTTTTGGAGCAAGGAGTCCGAAGTTGCAATGCTTGCCTATAATGCATGGAGACACGCTTGGTTAAAAATCCAACACTGCATATCAGCACAAACAATATCAAGTACAATGGTGGAAGGATGATGAATTTAGTTTGTTTTGCAGCCACAGAACCTGGGAACCCTGGAGTCAACCTTGAACTCCTACGTATATTAAAGTATTTTAGAGTAAAATGTCAGGTTCAACGGTTCAACCGCTTAAACATCACAAAAATTGAGCATGCAATCTAGATAAAATGGCTAAAAAAGAAAAGAATCCGTTGCAATGATCTAGACAAAGTCTAAACCTCAACCCAATTAAAGGACTGTGCTGTGTGGAGCTCTGTGGTTCTACAAGCAATTATATGCAAATTGAATTGAGATGCTGTAAAATGCACTTCATCTTCAAATCTTCATCTAACTTATCTTTAGATCAAAGACAGTTGAACTAAACCTGTGAGCTGCTAAATTCTTGTGTTTTTATTTTTTGTTATGTTCCAATACATAAAACCTTAGAACTGATAGAGGTTCTTTTTACGGAGACTCTATGTCTATCTTTAACCCTGCAGATTGTGTAGCTAGTGATACAAGCGGCCATTAGCTTAGCTTGGAGAACGGGAGTACAGTAATTAATAAACAAATATTCATATTAATAGTAGATAGAATCCCTAACCTAGTGACTAAAGTGCCACTGTTAGAGATTGCTTGCATTCCCAGCATAGTGACTAAGATTTGCAGTGTAGCCACCAGCATCCAGAGGCTAATGATAAGATGATGGAACATATTTATATGTGTTTCAGATTCAAACTCCAAAATACCTTAACTGAGTATACCAGAATAATATCCAGTAGTTCTAAGATGCTTTCTAAACCCCCAAGTTCACGAGTTCATTCAGAGTTTGAATGGATCCCTGCGAACTACCTGCAGTTTTTTTGTGACACTGCATTTCAATACACTAACTAAGCATGCGCCCTTCAGTTGGATTTCTGCATCCAACAGAATATGACTACAGCTTGAAGCAGCTCACAACAAGTTTCCCACTGTTTGTAAATCAGTTGCTGCCTTTGATATTGATAAACACTCCTTTGGTCGGCAGTATTACTTTTTGCTTGAGGAAATTTGGTTTCTTTCGTTTTGTTGTTTCTCTTTATAATTGCAACATTGGTCATTCTTCTTTTCATAAATTCTAAAATACATTTCCTGCTTTTGGGCTTTAATATGCTTGTCACAACCGTGCTGATGGTCTGTTTCTCCCGGAGCCAGACATTTTCCACCATTGAGTTCTTCACAAAATTTTTCTTCAGCAACCCATGGAGACACCATTACTGTAAAGCAGGCATCAATCTGCTAGATCTGCATTCCCTAACATGTGAGGTTCCTCTTTTCATGCCCTCTGATGTGATCTAAAAGAGTACTACAGATCACAGTAACCCTGACAGTGCTACCTGAGTTTGATCTGTATCCTAACCAGCAATTCCAAGCTGCCCATTCTGAGATTCTGAAGCCTACCTGCAAGCATTTGGGTGCATCCATTTTGGTGTGGCCAGAGTTATTGAGCAAGCCTCTAAAGGGGAATACTGTAACATGAACATATTTAATGTGAAACAGTACACACAGGTGGAGATATAACAAGTAAAATCCTCAGATAGTGAAACATGTTCCAAAGTTAACTTTCCAGACACATTTATTGGGCTGATAACATCAAACACAGTGTATGACCATTGTAAACAAATAAAACAGAAATAAAAGGCATCAGCTCAGACTGAGAACTGCTGCAGAATTCAAAGTGCGCCAAGCTTTTTAAAATTCTTAACTTTTTGTCTTTTTAATATCTTCTTAATATATTTTTTGAATGTTATTTCATTATTTTTTTTCTTTACACATTCATTTTTCTTTTGTATTGATAATTATAATATGTACATATGAGGCCAAGACACCAGTTGCTTTGAGACCATATGAAAGCTTTGGAAGTTGTCCCATGGCATTACTCTAGTTTTGGAAAATGACAAGGTAAGGCTGTGTTCCCTCTCTGTTGGTTTTGCTGATTGCATGCCCTGTTGGTGACTGAAATGAAACGTCCACGTGAGTCTTCCTGATGGCTCCATATTGTTGAGCAGGGGAAAGGCAATGACTTAGTTCTAGGAATTTCTTACTGATAGCAACATCTTTTATCTACAAAGGTCCCTAAGGTTGTCATAGTGGTTGACTGGCTACCAAATAAATGCTTCGTGTTTTGTTTTTTTAGGTTGTCTATTTTTTGTTTTCTCCCAAAAAGTATTGATATCAAAATGTTCATATAGATATAATTGTTCAGTGGGGGAAAGGACCTGTTAGCATGTGTTTGATCAAAGGTTCAAACCGTTGTCACTGTATGAAAAGAAGAGTCTCTTTCCTTGCAATGCAAAGTCCCTTCATTTAAATAATGTCTGGTGTTATTTGTCTTTATACAATGCCATGAAAAAGTCTTAGATGAGATACAGCCTCGAGACCAGTTTTCTTCTTCAGTCTTCCCTGCCTCACTTCTTTTTCTATTTCTCTCCCCTCATCCTGAACTCCATCTCTGTCTCGTCTTCACGTTCATCTGAGAAGGCTACTTCAGCAACCACTCGTTCACTGGAAGAGAGAAGTGGGACAGGAGTGGACATACAATTATATATAATTATATATGAACACAGTTATATATATATATGCAGCGCTCTTCACGGTTCAGCTGTTCTCTGACATCATCCACCCTGCACCATTTTTCATTTTTAGCCAGGATTACAGTTTAAAATGGCCTTAAGTGAATGCCATAAATGTATGTAGATGTAGGCAGGAGGAATTTGCTACAGTCTGTTGATCTGTTCAGCTTTGATCTGTTTAGCTCAATTAATAGATAGGTTATGAATCTTTGTATTAATGCATCTTGATAGATAATTTATGTTTATCTGTTTATGTTTATGGAAAGATTTATAGATTTTTCATAAACATTTTTGAAGGACCACATGGTTTCAAGAATGTTGCAAGAAGGTGTACAGGGAGTGCAGAATTATTAGGCAAATGAGTATTTTGTCCACATCATCCTCTTCATGCATGTTGTCTTACTCCAAGCTGTATAGGCTCGAAAGCCTACTACCAATTAAGCATATTAGGTGATGTGCATCTCTGTAATGAGAAGGGGTGTGGTCTAATGACATCAACACCCTATATCAGGTGTGCATAATTATTAGGCAACGTCCTTTCCTTTGGCAAAATGGGTCAAAAGAAGGACTTGACAGGCTCAGAAAAGTCAAAAATAGTGAGATATCTTGCAGAGGGATGCAGCAGTCTCAAAATTGCAAAGCTTCTGAAGCGTGATCATCGAACAATCAAGCGTTTCATTCAAAATAGTCAACAGGGTCGCAAGAAGCGTGTGGAAAAACCAAGGCGCAAAATAACTGCCCATGAACTGAGAAAAGTCAAGCGTGCAGCTGCCAAGATGCCACTTGCCACCAGTTTGGCCATATTTCAGAGCTGCAACATCACTGGAGTGCCCAAAAGCACAAGGTGTGCAATACTCAGAGACATGGCCAAGGTAAGAAAGGCTGAAAGACGACCACCACTGAACAAGACACACAAGCTGAAACGTCAAGACTGGGCCAAGAAATATCTCAAGACTGGTTTTTCTAAGGTTTTATGGACTGATGAAATGAGAGTGAGTCTTGATGGGCCAGATGGATGGGCCCGTGGCTGGATTGGTAAAGGGCAGAGAGCTCCAGTCCGACTCAGACGCCAGCAAGGTGGAGGTGGAGTACTGGTTTGGGCTGGTATCATCAAAGATGAGCTTGTGGGGCCTTTTCGGGTTGAGGATGGAGTCAAGCTCAACTCCCAGTCCTACTGCCAGTTTCTGGAAGACACCTTCTTCAAGCAGTGGTACAGGAAGAAGTCTGCATCCTTCAAGAAAAACATGATTTTCATGCAGGACAATGCTCCATCACACGCGTCCAAGTACTCCACAGCGTGGCTGGCAAGAAAGGGTATAAAAGAAGAAAAACTAATGACATGGCCTCCTTGTTCACCTGATCTGAACCCCATTGAGAACCTGTGGTCCATCATCAAATGTGAGATTTACAAGGAGGGAAAACAGTACACCTCTCTGAACAGTGTCTGGGAGGCTGTGGTTGCTGCTGCACGCAATGTTGATGGTGAACAGATCAAAACACTGACAGAATCCATGGATGGCAGGCTTTTGAGTGTCCTTGCAAAGAAAGGTGGCTATATTGGTCGCTGATTTGTTTTTGTTTTGTTTTTGAATGTCAGAAATGTATATTTGTGAATGTGGAGATGTTATATTGGTGTCACTGGTAAAAATAAATAATTGAAATGGGTATATATTTGTTTTTTGTTAAGTTGCCTAATAATTATGCACAGTAATAGTCACCTGCACACACAGATATCCCCCTAAAATAGCTAAAACTAAAAACAAACTAAAAACTACTTCCAAAAACATTCAGCTTTGATATTAATGAGTTTTTTGGGTTCATTGAGAACATGGTTGTTGTTCAATAATAAAATTATTCCTCAAAAATACAACTTGCCTAATAATTCTGCACTCCCTGTATTTGAGACCAAAGCCTAAGCTGAGCAGTTCAAGTAGGTTTTAGTATCTAAGACTGACAAAGTAGTTATTGTTAGGTCTAATTGCTGAATGTTTGTCATTATGCTTCTTAAATTTGTAAGGTCTTAGTTCAATCTATAGGATCAAGACATTCCTTTGTCCCTGACCACCTCTCCAGCCACTCTGTGCTGGGGGAGGATTATTACACATCCCTTGTGAAGATTCTGTTTGATGTTTGGTAAGCTTCCTGCCCTTTGTATGGCTTCACTGTGTTATCTATGGTGAAGCATACATTGGGTGTGGGGGAGACTACCCTCTTTATGACCAGGATGTTGTAGAAACAGTTGTGATCAGGAAGACACACATTCCTACACACACACACACACGCACACATATACACACAGTGCCTTGTCTTTGTAACCATTTGGTGGCTTTACGTGGGCGGTGCTTTTGCTGTGATGTGTATTGTGTGAACTGTTTTCCCAATAAAAGGCAGCAAGCGGAGCCCGTCGTTGGGGTCATTTTGTGGTAGACACCGACGAGGCCTCCCTTGCAAAAAAATCGACCGTTCGCTGACTGTCTTGTTTTCTTCATGATGAATAAGTCTCTAAACCAGCGGGGCTTGTGGAAACACAGACCCAACAGTTATCAGTACCTAAATGTAACAAATTGGTTTTCAGTGTCTAAACATACACAAGTTGTTTTTGTACTTGGAACTTACTAATGTAAGTAATTGAAAGCAAAAGTAAGAAAGTGTAAAGATTGTAAATCATCACAAAACTCAAATCCAAACCTGGACACAAACCACAGACTCATGAACTCCAGACTCCACCAGCATCCTTCCAACTTCCTTAAAGCTTTCGCTCCTTAAAAGAGAATCTTTAAGAAGTAGTGCAATGCACTACTGACAGGAAAGGACACCTTGTGTGTGTGTTGGCACCATTAAACAGAAAGACAGTGTTTGACATTGTGTGACAAGAATGTGGGGTCATGTTTCTGTAAGAAAGCAGATACATTTCCCCTTTTAATGAGACATCCCCACCCTACTTCATCCTGAAGGTCCTCAATTCTCAGAACAATTAAAAGAAGCAGGTCTCGTTGGTGTTTTCGCAACAGAGAGTGCTTTTTGTTTGATGCTCAGGAGACTCTAAGGTGGGTGAATTTCTGAAATCTCTCCCCACAACTGCTCCCTAGAATAATAATTTCATCTTTTAAGAGGAAGGCAAGGGAATGTCAAATAGCTGAACAGAGAACCAATGAGAGACTAGATACAGACGACAAACCCTCCCTATGCTCCTGAGAGCTATGGTAAACCAGGATTCAGCCTCCACTTATGGATACATAAGTGAAAGGAACAGAGATGATGACAATTATGGAAAGACCTATGAACACATACTTCAAGAAGAGGGAGGAGCATAAGGTGACATATAACAGCAGAGGAAGGTGTACACAGATCAGGTACATCCTATACAGAAGGTTCAGTGTCAAAGAGATAGAAGACTGCATGGCGTTGACGAGGGAAATGTAGCAAGGCAGCAATGGACAGTAGTCTCTAGGATGACTCTGGAAATCAAGAAGGACTGAGTGAAGGCGGAGCCAATGCTTAAATGTTGGAAGTTGAAAAAGGAAGAATGTTGCAGAGAATTTAGAGAGGAGTCAAGACAGGTAGTAGGGAAGAATTACCAGAATGCTGGAAAAGTACAGATGAAGTGAAATGCCAAGATTTTTTGTCCGGTGGCTGGCAAAGAAAAGTTCTCATATGGAGAAGCTGGACACTAGGTAGGAGAAAATGGTCTGTTTCAATTAGTAAGAGATTAAGCTGAAAAGGATGTGCTGCAGGTTAGAGTGCTTAGAATACAACTGGAAATGTACTAACAAATGAGAAGACCACCTTACCAAGGTGGTAAGGAGATGTCATCTGAACCATTCCTCTGACCTGAGGAGTGGAGACGAAGTCTACTGGTACTGATTTTCAAGAACAGAGGTTACATGGAGATCTGTTATAACTACAGGAGGATAAAGATGATAAGCCATACTATAGAGATATGGGAAATAGTTGTTGAATGTTAAAGAGAGAAGTGACAATTAGTGAGCAGTAGTGGCTTCATGCTGAGAAAGAGCACTACAGGTGCGATTTTTGCTTTGAGAGTGTTGATGGAAAACTGCAGACAAAGTCAGAACAAGTTGATAAAAAGCGTAAAAGTACATGAGGGTGGTGCAGGGAATCTATGAGGACAGTGAGAAAGCAGTGAAGTGTGGGGTAGGAGTGACAGATGGATTCAAGGTGGGGTGGGATTACATGAGAGATCAGCTCTGAGCCCTTCCTATTTGCAGTGGTGATGGACAGATTGACAGATGAGGTGAAGCAGGCAAGCAAGAGTCTCCATGGACTATAATGTTTGCAGAAAACATTGTGATCTGTAGTGAGAGTAGGCAGCAGGTGGGAGAGAGCCTGGAGAGAGAAAGAATTAAAGCCTGGAGAAGCAAGAAGGAATACATGTGTGTAAATGAGAGGGAGACAGTTGCAAAATTGCAAGGAGGTCAGTTATACAAAGCAACAGACAATACACAAGAGAGGTGAAAAAGAGAGCGGGTGGGCGGAGATGAGTGTCACGGGTGATTTGTGACAGGAAGATAGCAACAAAAATGATAGGGAAGCTTTACAAGATGGTAGTGAGACCTGCTATCATGCTCTAGTTTGGCAGCTGTGGCAGTAACAAAAAGGCAGGAATCAAAGCTGGAGGTGGTAGAGTTAAGATTTTGATTGTGACTGACCAGAAAGGACTGATTAGAATCAGGCATGTCGGAGGGGCAACGTTGAGCGTTTTGGAGACAAAGTTAAGGAGGAAAGGCTGAGATAGTCTATATGTGCAGTGGATGGATTGTGGATGTGCTGGGCAAAAGATGTTTAATATGCTGCTGGCAGGAAGGAGGAAAAGAGGATGATGACAGATAAGATTCATAGACGTAGTGAAGGAGAGTCAGTGTTTCAGAAGAGAATGCTTGTGTTGTGAGTCCACTGTGATGACCTGTGCAATCAGCTGAAAGAAGAAGATGATCTCATTTCTTATTTGTGGGGATCATTTTATCAAAATGAATGGTTTATTCACTAAGATAATTGCTGTAATCTGGACCTAGTTCCAGGCTGGTAATGTGTAAGCCCAGAATTGAGAAATACTTTGAAACTCTGTTGCCATTTTGAAAACAATTTAATACAACATTAGAATAAAATAGAATAGTCATTTCTTGTGATTGTACATGTACAACAAAACTGTTTTTGATGTGCTTGTTGTTGTTTTTAGCTTCTATAGGTGTAAAGTGTAAAAGATTCAGTACTTTTGTTCATATAATGTACATTTCTTAAAGCTTTCCTAGCATTTTTTGTTAGTAGTTGCCTAGTGTAGCACATTCAGTAAAGGAGCAGTCTAGTATGACCACTAAGAAAAATAACGGCAGCATCTTTGTATTTTTTTTGGGTTCAAAAGATTTGTTTATTTTACAGAAATATGACTTGCCTATTTTATATATTTGTTTTTGTATAATTGCTCTGTTGTGTGCACAAAAACAAATGTTATAACCAAATTGTGCGATCTTATGAAAGGACAGATATCATAATATCTGTAATTAAATATTGTTTAAATGTCAGACACTGAGAAAGTTACCCAAACCAGCCATTTGTAGAAGTAGTTTTTACCTCGGTACTGGAGCTTCTGGGCCCTGTTGTTTGGGCAGTCTTTGCCCTGCATGCTGAAGTTAATATTGGTGCGGATGCAGCGGTTGTTTAGAGGCTGCACAGGACGAACGTTGTCACTCATGCTTAGAAAGATCTGAGAGGGCTGGTTCTGGCTCAGCAGCCGCAAGGAGTGCATCTAACATCAAGACAGAGAGAGAGAGAGTGAGAAAGAGGGGGAGGGAAGAGAAGCAAAATTGGCTAAAGTATCATGGAAATGTGAGCCAGCCTTTTTTATTCACTGCATTAATTTCCAGCAAGGTCTGAGTAGAAGATTACACACAGGAGGAGAGATTTTGGAGGAAAAGCCTCAATGTGAGTAGACATATTTCACAGAGTAATTTTTTGAGAGAGAATCCTGATCTGAGACAGGTAAACCCCAGTGTATTCTGGGAGCTTTGTTTCAGGTCTGTGCTGGTGGATGAGGCTCACCTGCATCCGTGTGAGATACACTGGCTTGTTCATCAAGATCCACGTGGCAGTCTCAAAACATGGAGGGATGGTCATCGATCCATCATATGTGATAAAACTACTTGTTTCTGGATAAATCTCCTCTATGTTCAGGCCATTCAGTAGATATGCATCATCTGCAGGGTAAAAAGGCAGAAAACCGAAACAAAATGAGACCTCTAATGTTTCATCGGAAGACACTGGAAATGTAGTTGTACAAAAATTGTATTCCACATGTAAAAATTAATGGATTTGTAAACAAATTACTAAAAGATTATCATATACTGTGATTTTATTCACAGACTTGGAAGTAAGGAGACAGTTACACTACCTGTTTCAGTTACTGGAGACAAAAAATAATGGCCCACAAACAAGCAGCGACTTAAGGTGGCTGCAATAATTTCATGCGAAGGATTTTCTTCCAAGCAGTAAAGCAATCATTTTATTTGCAGTTATGCTAGTTTGTCCAATTATTTTTGAGTCTTTAAAAATGGGGAACTATGTCAAAAAATGGCTGTAATTCTGTAATCAGTGCTGAAAGTTTTCAGTCACGTGTTTTTTGTTTGACTTTAAATAAGTGGTAGTATTATAAGGGAAAGATATGTGAAAGCTAAATCATTGTCCAAATGTTTTTAGATATTCAGAAAGTATTCAGATCTGGGAGTTGGACACTGGCACCAAATTCGACCAACCTGACCAAGGAGAAGCAGCACTCCATTATTTAGAGACATGCACAACTCTCTGGTGTATATCTTTATGGAGACTGATTCATTACTACAGCACAACTGTTAGAGTACCATGCAACGTAAATGTGACTGTATATAAAGTCCAGTCCTCCAAGTTGGCAAAAAACTTGTGATTGACAGATTATTAGTCAGTGAGTATTTCCTTACTCTAACAGGGACTATAATTCACAAAATGTTGTATTTAGTATGACCTAATATTAGTGATTCAAACTAAAGTTTCTACTGAGTTTCCCATATGCTTCTATACAGCCTGAAGACTTTTTGCAACTAGAGGATTAGCCACATGTTGGTCATTATGTAGGTTTATGGCACATCTGCATTTGCTTCAGTTTTTATTAAAGCTTGCAGGTTGTTTTGTTTTGGCCATAGCTCTAAAAATGAGTCAGTGTATGATTTTAATGAAACTGGTTTCTCAGCCGGAAAAGGGTGGAGTGCCCACTCCGGGTCGGGGATGAGTTCCTGCCCCAAGTTCAAGTATCTCGGGGTCTTGTTCGCGAGTGATGGGAGAAGGGAGCCGGAGATCGACAGACGGATCGGGGCTGTAGCTGCAGTAATGCGGACGTTGCACCGGTCCGTCGTGGTGAAGAGGGAGCTGAGTGTAAAAGCGAAGCTCTCGATTTACCGGTCGATCTACGTCCCTACCCTCACCTATGGCCACGAGCTGTGGGTAGTGACCGAAAGAACGAGATCGCGGATACAAGCGGCAGAAATGACCTTCCTCCGAAGGGTGGCTGGCCTCTCCCTTAGAGATAGGGTGAGAAGTTCGGCCATCCGGGAGGGGCTCAGAGTAGAGCAGCCGCTGCTGCTCCACATCGAAAGGAGCCAGCTGAGGTGGTTCGGGCATCTGACAAGGATGCCCCCTGGGCACCTCCTGGGTGAGGTGTTCCAGGCATGTCCCACCGGGAGGAGGCCCCGGGGCAGACCCAGGACACGCTGGAGAGATTATATCTCTCTGCTGGCCTGGGAACGCCTTGGTGTTCCCCCGGATAAGCTGGAGGAGGTGGCTGGGGAGAGGGAGGTCTGGGCCTCTCTGCTTAGGCTGCTGCCCCCGCGACTCGGCCTCGGATAAAGCGGATGAAGATGGATGGATGGTTATAAAATTCAGTATTTAACATAAATTGCTGAGCTGATATTTTCATTCATACAGAAACTTACTAGGGTACTCTAACTCAACTGCAATTGTAGAACAAATACAGTGGATGGCATAAATCTGTGTACTCCAATTGAGTAGTAAACAGTGAAATACACTGGTGTAACAAATAAGCTGTAATTTGAGTCACTTCTCATACAGAGTCTGGTTATCATTACAACTCTTTCATTTTTTCTCACTTCTTTCATTTGCTGTTCTGTGAATGACAGCTTGTTGGTGTGGCAACACAAAACCTCTTTTATTCAAACTGTCTCCCCTGTCAGGATGCTAATTGGACAGACTACAACTTCCTCTTCCTCTCTTTCTCCCCCTCCATTCGCTATAACTTGCTGTCTACTAGTCCTCTCATGACAAATGGGCTACTGATTGTGGTGAGGTCACAGTGGTGGGCTGCTGCAGCTTTAATGCTGAATCAGCTGCATCACTACTAAATACTAACTGATGCATCAAAGGAATAGGAGCTGTGAAAAAATAAAAAGCACTTTAGGCCACTCCACCTACACTGATATTTGATGGTGTGGATTTTTAATGTATATGTATCTTCATATACACCTGAGTGTAAATCTGTGCTTTTGGGAAGAAAAACAGAAAAACGCTGGGCTGGTAGCATTATTGGCTGTGAGAGGGATATGCCTAAGGACTCATGGGTATGAGTGGGTGGTGTGTGACAGCATCTGTATGTGTGTTTCTGTGAGTCAGTGTGTGCGAAACAGCATATCTGACAGAGTTTTGACAGCTGTTAAAATCCATGCTTTTTTGCTGCTCCTCCTAGTGGACCCAAAAGATCCACCTCTGCCACCCAACAACACCCCCACCCCCAGTGACATGGTGTTCACAGACCACATGAGGTTATCCGTGATGTACAGCCCCAGAAACTAGGTGCTACTGACCACCTCCACAGCTGTGTTGTTGATGAGAAGTGGGACGTGGCTGGGTTGGTTCTGATGTTGACAATGACCTCCCGAGCTTTATCGATATTCAGGTTGTTGATTCTGACCAGCCCACCATGTACTGTGTCATCCACAAGCTTCACGATGTGATGGGTAGCAACCCTGGGGATGCAGTTGCGTATCAACAGGGTGAAAAGTAGAGGGTTCAGAACACAGTCCTGAGGGCTCCCCTCTGTGCTGAGGATGATGACACTGGACAGGTTCTATCCAACCCAACCATGCAAACCCCATGAACTGTGATCCACTTGGAGCACTATGCAGAGCATGCTGCTTGGCCAATTTATGATTGGTGCTTTAACAACTTATTACACACAACCACCTACTTTTATATGTTATTCTTGTGATGGTGTCTCTGTTCAGCATTCGATTCAGGAATGAGTTCGAGGTCTCAGCAATCTAGAAAAAAGAGAAAAGGAAAAAAGAGGGTCAAAAGAGTGAGGTTAAATGGTCACATAATGAGTTGAGAGCTCTGCTCTTGTATGATTAAATGAAATTTAATCTATTTGGGACAGTACTTCCAAGTATAATGAGAGTGTATTTTTTAATCTATCACCTTTTTAGGAGACTATTAAAAAGCCTCAAACACTGTGCTCTAATGACAGCAGAACTTGAACTGAAGTCTGCCTCTGTTGAGGTAGCAGGAGTTGTAAATGTCTTCATGGGAGGCAAGTGGGTAATGGATAATTTTCTGGGCAGTGGAAATGGCCCTTATGAGTGCACTTCACTCTGCTGAGAAGCAGATGGCAAACCATGCAGACATGCTTTAGGTCGACGCACACTCAGTAGAAGAGTGGAAGAAGGAGACAATCAGTTTCTGAGCCAAGTTGTTAATTCTGTGGATCCACAATAAGTGGAAACACTGCTGGGCCAGTTTGACCCCTGTGAGTTTTACTACTGGGTTAGGTAATGGATTCCATGTATAGCTCTTATTTAAAACAAAGACATAACCTTGTGATTTTCTTTTTGCTTAAGAAGTATATGAAAATGAGGATAGGCTACTGAAACCCCCGATGTTTGTTTGTTTTTAGTTTGCATTTTCCACACATTTTTACTATGATTTTGCTTCCTTTGTTATTTGATTATTGTATACATACATCCACATATTCTTACTCATGTTGTGATATTGAGTTTCATCTTGTGGCCCAGTCTGACACACTGCTGAATTTGAATGCTGATGAAAGTGGAACTGATATTCAACTGACAAGCAACTCACTATTTTCTGTAGGTAAACAGTTGTGAAACATTTTAAAGTGTCCTCATCAGTGCGTGCTTGGAGAAACAGCTAAGCCGTAAGATGACATTTCTTACAGCAGCTTTGCAGTCATTTAGGCACTTATGCTATTACGGAGCACACATCCACAGTAGGTGTACAGCTAATTGTCAAAACAAGAATAATGAAGGAATATGCTAGGACAGTACCATATAAACTTACCTGGATGAATTGCTCTGGAAACACAAATTGCTAAAGACAAAACAAACAAACATTCACTTTCCTTGTGGCTGGGGAAAAAGGCTGTTACTGGTATAGTAAGTCTCAGTTTCTGGCCACATGCCTGTTCAAAAGCCTGTCCTCCAGTTGTCTAGTACTGAGATAATTCCTAGAATACTAGGTATGGTACAAATCAAAGATTTATTTTTTTGTCTAACCTTGCCTGACATGAACTCATGAAAATCAGATTTTTGTTCAGCTAATGGCTTCAAGTCCATCCTTTACTCTGACCTCCATAACTAAAATGAAAACACACTGTCAAGCAAAGTTTTGCTGGGTGTTGGACCCAGCTTTGGAGTTTATTTTGTTTTATTGAGCGTTTTTGTGTTATTATGATTCAAGTTTCACAGTCCTGAATTTATTCTTGTTATTGTTTCGGATTTTTCTTGTGATCTCAGTTTATTATTCCTATAATTCCCTATTTATTGAATTCCTTAATTATCAGGTTTATGAGGTTCCCCTTATGTTTTGTCCCTCACTTCCCATGTGTGTGTGTACCTTTGTCTTGTTTCCATTTTCTGTTTACATGTTCCTCCTCGTGTTTCACTCCACGTTCCCCCTGCCTGCCTCTCTTGTGTATTCATGTATGTACACTGAATTATGTCAGTTTTTCCCTCTTTTGGCCCCCTCTTCTGTCTTTCCAGTCAATTCTGTTCTCATGTGCGTTCCTCCCTCCCAGCCATGTGTCTTGCCACATGTTGAATTTGTGTCTTAGTGTTTCCGGTTTTGTTTCGGCAGTCTCTTGTGTTCAGTGTGTTTAGTTTTGCTTCTCTGTGTCATTATTTCTATTCGTCCCAGCTGTGTATGTGAGAGAAACATGGCATTGTTTCTCTCACATATACTATCAAATGTGGGACCTCATATAGACAGTTGTTGCCAAATCATGTCCAGTCAACTAAATTTACCATAGATGGGCTCCAATCAAACAGAATGCACCCGAGCTCAAATATGAGTGTAATTGTAAAGGTTTTAAATAAATGGTAAATGGACTGATTCTTACATAGCACTTTTCTACTCTCCTGGAGCACTCAACAAGCTTTATACAACATGCCACCTTCACCCATTCACACCTATGCTTTCTACCTAACATTCACACACATTCAGATTCATACTCCGATGCATGCATCAGACAGCATCAGACAGCAACTGGGGGTTAGTATCTTGCCCAAGGATATTTGACATGCACAATGGAGGAGCCAGGAATCTAATCACCAACCTTCCAATCAGTAGATGACTTGCTATACCTCCTGACCTGCAGCCACCCACATGAACTTACGTACATGTTTTATTTTTTGTGCATTTGAAACAATGTCAAACAAATGTTTTTAGCTTTGTGATTATATGGTAATATGTGTAGAACTTTGAGGTGAAAAAAATTAATTTCATTTTTTTTATTTTGGAATTTTCCGGGAGCACTGTAATACTCATGACAGTGGAGTTCCACACTCATAGAAGTCATGGAATTCTGTCAAAGTAGGAAAACTGCTTTAAGTTATTCTTGAATAAGTATATTGTTACTGGCTTGTAATACTTAAAAACTGATTAAACCAGGTCAAAATTAACATGGCTTTTATGCCCAGATTCAGTATGAATGTATAAAACTCAGAATGTAGCAATTTGCATTCTACTGGATTTTATTGCTGTAAGTCAGAACGCCATAGTAACTGTAAGTTGTTCTGTGAGTGAATACAAGTACACATTTGTATTCGCGCAGTGATTAAACATATGTATGAGGTTTACCTTCATGAATATAGACACTATGACCAGTCCATTGGGGCTTTTTGCAGCTTCTGTATAATTTGTGTACAGCTCATGATTGTAGTGGATCAGCTGAACCTGGAACATAAAGAGAAGAGAAGTAGGGAATTACAGAAAGAAAAACATCAGTCTGATAGTTTTAGTTTAAACATCATGAAGGTGCTTGAAACAGTTACTATAAAATAGAAACCTTTGAGCACCTTTGTCAAGAATGTATAGTTGCCTTGTACTGATACTCAATCATTCACTTAAATCTTTCCTTATGGCTAGCATATCAGATTAAAATGGAAATGGAAATGGAAATTAAAATGGAAGCAGCTGACATGCAGATAGTTTGTATACTTAATGTGTATAAGGACAGAAGTAATATGAAGGACATTAAGAGACGCGGATGTTCTGTCATTATTTGCTCCAAGGCCAGCCTGCTGAGAAAGCTAAACAATCTTCCAGCATGAGGTTAATGTTTGACTGACAGATGCTTCATCCACAACAGCTGTTCGGTAGTTTAAGCCTGTTAATGATGTTTTGGCATGGGCAGACCCAACCGCTCAACTTCCAACTCTTACATTTAAAATGCCTAACCTATGTGCATTTGAAAGATATACAATATATCATGAATAGGCACTTCTTAGAGAAAAGGTTTAAAAGTATCAGATTTTAACAATGAACTGAAAGCAAAAGAGGACAGGGAAATTAAATACATTTCTGTAGTTGACAGGAAAGTAACCCATGCAACAAACAAATACATTTTTTTTTATCTATAAATCACGCCTTCCGATCCTTTTGTGTGCCATTCCTGTGTCTTGTTTCCTACTTTTCTTATCTGATCTTTGTAGTTTGACGTGGTCTGCAAGCTAAGGGAGGTCATTGAAATCTGGGAATAGCATCATGGTGGGGCGACCGTGGTTCAGGGGGTTGGGGAGCTCAACATAACTGGAAGGTTGCCAGTTATGCAAATACGATACAATATAAAATACAATACCCTTTGTCCCCTCCGTGAATTGCTAACTTATTGTGGTGGAGGGGTGGAGGGATAGGGTTACCGGTGCCACACCCTGTGGCCATGTCCACGGGCCCCAGCACAGCCTAAAGAGGGGATTATGGGTCCACCCTTCTACAGGCACACCACCTGCATGAGGTGCCACAGGAGTTGAGTGCAGTGTGTGCTGGGCAACGGCCAGGGGCAGAGATCTCCAGCTCCCGAGACTACCAAGCAGAAGCACATTTCAGAAACTGCAAGAAGTCTGCACTTCTGGCAGCTATACACATTCATTGCAAAAAATGTAATCATCCTTCATGCATCAAAAACTATTTACTATTTTTTCACAAAATATCTTCTTTGCTTTAGGGGTTACAGTTCCGTTACAGTTACCCCTAACCCATAGCATTATGGATGGTTGATTAGCTTAGCATTTGGGTCATAAATAATAACAAAACTATACCCATAGTATTTTATCCAAGCAGACAAATATTAGCACAGGAGAAAAAGTCTCCTTTTTTGGGTATTAAAAAATCTGTCACTTACTTCTTAGATTGGCAGAATGCCTAAAAATGTATTACCTTTACGTTATAGTTTTTCAATATGTGGTAATACACAATGACCCCCATGAATACAAAGGTGGTAAATGACTTATTTCAAGCACAAACGGCTGGCAATAATTTTCAGATTTTTCTCGAAGGCTTTCCCTCCTCACCTCCATAAACTTCTCCTCCTCACTCACTGGCAAAGAGCATACTGTACAGGGGTATATAAATAAACAATTATAAGAGGAGAGTAATTATGGAATACTTGATTGGGAGAGTGCAGCACAGCAGAACTTCTATAAATGCAATCAAGGCAAGAGAGGAAGTGATTAGAGTCCTTTGCTGATCTGATTAGATTTTTAGGTGAGAGTGGCAGAGGCAGCCAAAAGAACTCATCCCCACTCTCCCAATGACAAATTGCCCAAAGTGTGCTGCTGATGGGCAATAAAAGGCCAGTGTGGGCCATAATAAAGTGAGAATGTCTGCCAAATAGAGAAGGAAAAAAGAGCGAGAAAATAGAGGTCGTAATTAGACACAGAAATAGTTACAGAAAGAGCAGAAGAAGGTAATTTTATGTGTTGGCCAGACTGGTGAGCCTACTGTACCTCATCATTTATTGCAGCTTCGGGCTGTTCAAACAATTCACACTGACTATTAAGTTCAACACCTCTATCAATGTAACAGGAACATGTTACTTAGATTCAGCGGTAACGCTGTGTTTCATTCTGCTGAATATTATGTAGTTCCGTAACACTAGAGTTCTGAGTGGGAAAAGGCCTACAATGCACAAGAACTTCATTGGAACATTCTAAGTACTATAAGTCAAGTAAGGTAAGTTCACAACCCATCTTTCTAAGGTGCTTGGAAAGAAAAGCGTCTGGACTTCTTTAAGATGTTTCAGCTCTCATTCGAGAAGCTTCTTCAGTCCTAAAAGCAATTGGTGGGGAGCCCCAGATTTTTAAGCCCTATGGGAGTGTCCCCAAGAGGGTAATGGACCCTCATGGACCCTATTGATCTTCTGCCTAATCACACGAGCCAAGGTGTGAAAATGGATGTGCGTCACAATCAGCCAGGGTTTTGGGTGAACCCATTGTGAAATCTAGCCCCACCCTATCATGTGATTTACTGAGGTCAAATGGCCTAGAGTGCTCCACCAGTTGCTCTTCGAACTGAAGTAGCTTCTCGGATGAGAGGTGAAACGTCTTCAAGGAAACTTAAAGAAATCCAGACGCTTTTCTTTCCAAGCTCCTCAGACTACAATGATCTGGATGACTGAAAACACATTTCACATTTTTTAACTAACTGTTTTCCCTTGTTTGATTAGGTTTAGCCATCAATAACTTTTAGGTTTACATCCTTTCACAACTGTAACTACATGTTTGAAGGCAACAACAAACATCTACAACAAGCCTCTCCTCCATTCTTTTCCATTATCAACAACACAGAAATCTGTAGCAAACAATTATATTTTAGTCATCAAGGGACTGCTATTTAATATCTTCCACACACTGAAAAAAAAACAAAGCATTTAATGTATATTGTCGGAGCTAGCTTTTCAGTTCTTAATAATCAATTTCAGGAATGGCAGAAAGAGATTTCATTATTACGACTTACATTTGCAGAAGCATTACCATCAAAAATTTCCAAAAACATATAGCAAAAAATAATGTTTCGGCTTAAAGCTGAAAAATATGGGATTCACCTAATACATCAACAGTAACAGTGAAACAAGGCCAGCATTAAGTCAAACATCAAACCATAGCTTGTTTGATAAATACTGGAAATATATCAAAAGATTAAAGAATAATTTTGCACATGATTCCATGGGAAATCTTTTGAAAAGCAACCACACTAAAACTTTCCACTGAATGCAGCTCTTCTAAGTACTTGGTGAGTTAGCAGCTTCTTTGGCCATTTTTAGGTCAGTTAAACCTGGGTGGAAAGCTGCACTGAATGAATAGGGTATGAATGGTCACTATTACTCACAACAAGGGGTCATGACAGTCTCTTTATGGCATGATGGCTCGGTGCCCTCTGGGATAGGGAAATATGGAGACAGCAAGTCGATACGGGAAAGAAGGGTGCTTAGCACTAACAGCTTTCTAAGCGCTGGGCTGGAAATGATGCTCCCCATCTCAGCTTCAGTTAATCCTTGGACCCTTCTTCAGATTAACAGGATAATGTATAGTATCAAGAAACCTACAAATGGAGAAGTCTTGCTGCCATGTACAAATATGCTGATCACACTCTGGATTTGTATCTGCATTGGCTTCTTGCTGTCGTTTTTCACCATGTTTTTTTTTCTAATGTGACAGAATTAGAAGCATCTCCGATAAAATCAGCTGTGCTAATACAAAATAAACTGCAATGGTAATTGAGCATAAACCCAAATTTTGTTTTTTTTTCTTCACTGATATTTTTCTTCAAAACAAGCCATGACTGGTGTTCTGATGCAATTTTAATCCAAGATCCTTCACAACAAAGCTACTGTGGTGCAAATGTGGGTGTAATGTTCCATTTAATAGTGATTAATGATAATTAGAGCAAGAGAAAATAAAATAGGAAGAGTCTCCTCATCTGCAGCTCTGTGACCAATAATCTGCCGCAGCAATATTAGCTCAATGTGATTTTCTGTGTGTGACTATATTTGAAATAGGATATCCAAGGTATGTTTCTGTGGCTGATGGGGATTTAAAATGTTTGAAGCGACTGCCTGTGGCAAATCCTTTTCAAACACCTGACAAGATTTGAATTAAATGTATCTGGATCCCCTCTTCAGAAATAAGTGCTGTCTCTTTCTGTCTGTGGGGCTGACACTGTCAAATGTATTAGGTGTAAACCTAATGTAATCCATTAAAACTAATATTGAATGGTACTTTCTTAAGTTATTTGTCCACGGTCATGTTATTTTATAAGATAATATAAATCAGTAAAAAAAAAAAGATGAAGGAAACTGGTCTATTCCTACTGATAATAAGGTTTCAAATGACACCAAAAGTCTGACATTGTTTTTCAGTTTATGAGATAAAAGTCTCTGCACACATAGGATTGGTTATTGGTTATAAGTACTCCAGCCACCCCAGCCATAAGCTGTTTAACCCTTTAAGACCTACCATAGAACCATAGAACCACTACAGCATGTATTATATTTTACATGCTGTAGTGCCATTTTTGGGAGCATTTCAAGTTGATATACATCAATACAACCATTATAGCCCAAATTTTAATAATATGTATGCATTAAGTGCATAGTAATTACATAAATTGCAAAAAAGTGCAATAAACTACAAAAAAATTAAAAATCGTTTTTGTTTTTTTAACATATA